AAATGTATATATAAATATGCCTTCTAGACAAAATAAAATTTTGCAAGGTTATTAGAGAAAAGAAAAAAATTTTTTTTTTTTTTTTTATCGCGAATGATTTTCGTCTACGGCCTCCCGTAATGCATTATTAAAGAGGAGGGGGAGCAGAGGAGAAGGAGGAGAAAGGGAGGGAAGGGGGAACAAAAAAAAAACAATTACTTAAAATCTATTTAAAATTATTTTTAATAAAAAAAATATGGTCTAATAAAAATAGCAAATTTTTTTTTTTTATAAATATAAAATTTATAAATAATTTATTATTATTATTATTATTCTATTGATATTAAAAACGAGGAAATTCTGAACTTTTTGTTTTTTTTCTGAAGGTTTTGGAATAAAATGATAATAATATTTTATGTATCAAAATAAATAAAATTAAAAAAAAAAATTTCAATTTAATATTTTCAATGTCAAATTTTTTTTTTTTTTTTTTTAATGTATACATAAACATGTTAAATTTAATTAAATTAAATGTTAATATAAAATTTTTATCAATAATTATGATGATGATGATGATGATGATGATGATGATATTTATTTAATAATTTATGCATTAATATAAAATGCAAAAAGAAAAACAAAAATTTTCAATAGATAAATTAAAATCAATTTTGAGGGAGAGTAAAAAAAAATTTTAACATTAAAAGGAAATAAATTAATAATTCATTTATAAATAAATTATTAATTTATTTTGTTATGTTGTTTCTAATATAATATTCAATTTTTTGTAAAAAAAAAAAAAAAAAAAAAATTGATTATTTAACTCTTAGTTAAAATATCAAATAAAAAATGAATAATAATAATAATAACTTTGTGTGACAGAATTTTGTGATGGATGGATAGATAGATGGTAAATATTCAAAGCATGATTAATTATTAATAGAAATAATGATGATAATAAGTTGGTATTTTATAAAAAATCATGTTTTCCCCCCCTTTTTTATCTATTGTTTTGAGCCAACTTTTTTTGGTTTTAATAAATCACAATAAAAAGTACATAAATATACATAGATAGATAGAGAGAGAGAGAGAAAGAGAGAGAGAGTTTTTAAAGTATGAAGTTATATACAACATTGAGAGATAATGTGAACAAATAAAACATGTTATTGAAATCAATTGAAAACAAAACATTAAATCATATCTAATAATACATTTATTAACATTATTTGCATCAGATACTGTTTTAATTACTGTAAAACATAAAAACATAAAATAATAATCCCCAAAAATATAATAATTAATAAATTGATTCATGTGTGTATGTGTGTGTGATGATTAAAAGATGAAAAAGAACATTTCAAATAAAACATAAATAAAATAATTACTGGACTGTTAATATTTTTTAAGTTTAATTGAATTTGAAACAAATTAATAAATAAGAAATGCAAATTATAAAATTATTAACCATTAATTTAAAAAAAATTCATTGGCTTTTGATTTTGTTGTTGTTGCATATATATCACATTGTAATAAAAAATCTAATAAATAAATACATAATAGTAAAATATCGACCGTATAATTGCACAAATAACATATATTATTGTATAAATAAATCTCACGAAAACAATTATAAACTTTTAAAAATAGATATTGAGTAAGTAATTCAATTAAACAACAAAAAAAACATGACTAATTCTAACCATAACCTCTTCCTTACCTTTAGTTTTTTTTTGCATTTTAAAAAATAACACATAAATAAAACGATTCACGCACGAATAAAGTTTAATTAACGTTTAAATTATTTATATAAAACATAAAACAAACAATAAAATCAAAATTAAAAACGTAGAAAACTAAAAAAAAAAAAACCGAAATAAAAATATGTTAATTTGTATAGACACAATAAAGAAGGGTCCGCCATCTTGGAATTTCACGGCCACTCAGTGTTGCTCGCGCTCACCGCCCTCTGCTATTCAAACGATCGTATCCGAATTTAATTCACAAATCGCAGTCTCGAATTTTCTTTCTATTTCTTCTTTTTTTTTTTTTTTATTTCGTTCATGTCTTCGTTTCATTGTGTGTGTGTGTGTGTATATATAAAATTCAGTGTTCTACCGGAAGACTTGCAGTCATAACATTTTACCTGTGAAACCTTCAAGAAACCTATTTTTTATTCTGTAAGTGTTAATAGGAAAAAAAGTGAAACGTATATACATATTTGTCTTTCGTAGACATGTTTTGTGTAACTTTTTAATAAACAATTTTTTTTTTAGTAAGGTAGGTCAATAATAATAATAATAATAATACATCTCACAGAACTTGACTACTTTTATACTTTTAAATTTATTTAAAATTTAATTAATTTTTTTTTTTTTAAATAAATAAATAATAATCTTTTAAGTTTGATCGTTTCCATTATTATTATTATTATTATTATTAAAAAAAGTTTAAATATAAAATTTAATGGAAAAACTTGGTTAGTTCGTTCGTTTGAAAATAATTAATTATAAATGTCGATTCCATTCTTTAGTTTAAAGAATATTAAAAAAAAAAAAAAAAAAAATTTAATAATTTAAAACTGTCAAATCCATACGTTGTTGTTATTTACTTTACATACATACGAATT